TATGGTGCAAATGCCTCGATAACGCTCTTCTGCCTGCCAAGAAGATTATTTTGGTGCGGGAACCAATTCTCATATTACTCCAAATTTAGCAGCCTTGAGTATTGCCAAGGACCGCAAAGGTGATAATAAAATCCCAGTTGGAAGTGGTCAATGTCTGGAAATCTCTCACATTGGTATTGGTTTTTTACCTGACCCTCAAAATTCTTTTTTTTATAAGAATAATCTTTATTTCTTCCTCTCATTTTTCTTTTGATAAATTTTTTTCAACTGTGGAAAATCAAATTCAGTACTGGAAAAATGAAATGCAAACGTTTTGAAACCGATCTTACTATAATAATCAGATAGATCTGTAGACTAAATTCCAATGCCTAAAATTAAAGCATTTTAAAGGTTTAATGCCTAATATACAAATATATTAAAAGTCAGTCAGTTTTAAAAGAAATGATTATGCATTGTGTATAGAATAAGAGTATAATCACATTCACGTTGTTTTGTATAAATAATTGTTGGAGACTGTGTTAAAAGTCAGTCAATAATGGCGGTGCATGATTTCAATAATGGCGGTGCATGATTCAAAGGTTGGCACCGAACAGTTTTTTTGTTGAAAATGGTATTGTGATAATTGCATTTTAGTCCCTATATATTTTAGGATATTTACAAGATTATTCCTTTTTTAACTATAAATATCCTAACCCATTTAGCTTCAAAATCATCCCAAATCATTTCTTTCTCCCAATACTAGAGAGTTTTCTTGTGAGTTGAGAGTATTTTGTAAATACCTGTAAATTTTCCCTCTTTAGTAAAAGATCTGTAGCAGTCCAGAGAGGTAGACATAATTGGCTGAACTCCGTTATCAATTTCGGGTATTATTTTTCCTTTTTTATTTCGCATTCTCACTAATCTGGTTATAGGGAAATTACTCGTTTATTTTCCAACAGCTGGTGTGGGAGTGATTGTCAGAAATTGACAATTTTCAGAAAAGATCCAAACAAAGCCAGATTCGAGTGGGAGTGATTATTGTGGACGAAGAGAATATGAAAATTGAGAACTTCGATGGTGTGGACTTTGGCTTTTAGAAGATGCAGATTTAAGATTTTATGTACCATAAAAATCTATATCAACCTCTCTCAGGAAAGCAACCAGAGGGCATGAAGGATGAAGACTGTGCTCTTCTTGACAGACAAGCCCTCGGAGTTATCCGATTGACGTTATCCCGCAATGTTGCTTTCAACATAGCAAAAGAAAATATCACAGTGGGTCTTATGAGGGCTCTCTCCAGTATGTATGAGAAGTCATCGGCCTCAAACAAAATTCACTTGATGAGACGATTATTCAATTTGCGGATGGCGGAAGGGGCATCAATGGCTCAACACCTAAATGAACTCAACACAATCACAACCCAGTTGAGTTCCGTGGAAATTGAATTCGATGATGAAGTTCGAACTTTAATTCTCTTATCATCTCTACCAGATAGTTGGAATGCTATTGTTATAGTAGTCAGCAACTCCTCGGAAAACAACAAATTAAAATTCGACGATGTTCGAGATCTAGTATTGAGTGAAGAAATTCGACGGAGAGAATCGGGTGAAGTATCAAGCTCCTCAACCTTGCACACGGAGTCTAGAGGGAGAACTTCAGAAAGAAATCCAAATCGTGGCAGATCGAAATCCAGAAGGGGGAAAATCAAGAACTGGAAAGAAAGATTTTAACTGTTATAATTGTGGCAAGAAGATCCACTTTCAAAAAGATTGCCGAGCACCGAAGAAATATATCGGTGCATAGGAATCTGCCAACATGATAGATAAGACATGTGATGCCATGATTCGAAGCGTTAACAGTCCGATTGAATCATTGATCTTCGATTCAGGGGCATCTTTCCACTCCACCCCATGCCAAGAAATCATGGAGAACTATATCAATGGTGATTTTGGGAAGGTTCATGTAGCTAATGATAAAAACCTTGAAGATTGTCGGAAAAGAAGACATCCGATTAAAGTTGCCAAACCAGACCACCTGGAAGCTGAAAGGAGTGAGATATATTCCTGGCCTCAAAAGAAATTTGATTTCTGTTAGACAGCTTGATGGAGAAAGATATTGTACATCCTTTTCAGGCTGTGAATTGAAGATTACCAAAGGAGCACTCACCATTGCTCGTGGTAAGAAGACTGGTACTCTCTATGTAACCTCAAACTTGGAGAATATCATTGCAGTAGCAGATGTTGATGGAAAATCAAATCTATGGCACCAAAGGCTTGGTCATATAAGCGAGAAAATGATGAAGACACTTTTGTCAAAAGGGAAGCTTTCGAATATAAAGAATATAGATGTCAAACTATGTGACGATTGTATCTTTAGCAAACAAAAGAAAGTCAGTTTTGCAAAGATTGACAAGATACACAAGGCTGAAAAGTTAGAGTTGGTTCATACTGATGTATGGGGACCATCTCCAGTTCCATCTCTTGTATGTTCACTATATTATGTCACCTTCATCAATGATTCTACAAGGAAGGTGTGGGTTTATTTTCTGAAGAAGAAATCAGAAGTCTTTGATACCTTCAAAAAATGGAAGGCCATGGTGGAAAATGAGACTGGTTTGAAAGTCAAGTGGTTGAGGTCTGATAATGGAAGAGAGTACAGAAATAGTAGATTCAGAGATTTCTGCGCAAACAATGGGATCAAGATGGATACAACAGTTATCATGACACCGCAACAGAATGGCGTAGCAGAGCGCATGAATAGAACTTTGAATGAACATGCCAGAAGCATGAAGATACATGTTGGATTGCCCAAATTGCTATGGGCTGAAGTTATCAACACTGCAGCTTACCTGATAAACTGTGGGCCCTCAGTTCCCTTAGATGTCGAAATACCAGAGGAAGTTTGGAGCAAGAAAGAAATAAACCTTTCACACTTAAGAGTGTTTGGTTGTATTTCTTGTGTACACATAAATTCTGCTGAAAGAAGTAAACTTGATGCCAAGTCAAACAAATGTGTCTTTGTTGGTTATGGTAGTGATGAGTTCGGTTACCGGTTTTGGGACTATGAAAATCGAAAGATCATCAGAAGTAGAGATGTCATTTTCAATGAGAATGTGATGTATAAAGATAGGTCAACCATAGAATCAAGTAGCTCAAATACTGAAGCTGAAACAAAGGAATTTATTGAGTTGAGATTTCTGGAAATGATGTTCAGATCAGTCCTGAAAAAGTTCAATAAGAACTAGGCACTCCGGAACTAAGACGCTCCTCCAGAATTCCTAAACCAACCCAACATTATTCGCCTTTTTTGTACTACTTGTTGCTGACTGATAATGGTGAACCAGAGTGCTATGATGAAGCAGTGCATGTGGAGGATTCAGTCAAGTGGGAGTCTTCAATGAAAGATGACATGGACTCACTTATGTCAACAAAGGCGGTGACTATGGATAAACTGAAGTTGTGTTCAGCTTCAATTGGCATGCTAGAGTAACGAGACCAGAAATGCTACTGCATTGATCGAGGTGTAAAGAACGATTAAAATCAGTCTTCAAGTGGGAGATTGTTAAAAGTCAGTCAATAATGGCAGTGCATGATTTCAATAATGGCGGTGCTTGATTCAAAGGTTGGCACCGAACAGATTTTTTGTTGAAAATGGTAATGGGATAATTGCATTTTAGTCCCTACACATTTTAAGGTATTTACAAGATTAGTCCTTAAGCTTCAACTATAAATACCCTAACCCATTTAGCTTTAAAATCATCCCAAATCATTTCTTTCTCCCAATACTAGAGAGCTTTCTTGTGAGTTGAGAGTGTTTTGTAAACACTTGTAAATTTTCTTTCTTTAGTAAAAGATATGCGGCAGTCCGGAGACGTAGGCATAATTGGCTAAACTCCGTTATCAATTTCGGGTATTATTTTTCCGCTTTTATTTCGAATTCTCACTAATCTGGTTATAGAGAAATTACTCGGTTATTTCCTAACAGACTGAAATGCTGTATAAGTGAACTTTGAAAAGTTCCAAGGATGATAATAAAACGTGTCATATTACCAATTTTTTCTGCCACCCTATTAACCTAAAATTTGTTGAAAGATTAAGGATTTGGACCCTTAATGCCATCATATCACGTGGGGCAATTGTTGGTCTTGCTACAAATATTGAACTACCAAACTTATCCATTGGTATATTCCTTTATGTATGACAAAAATAAGCCATGTGTTCCTTTTATGTTAAGTAAAAGTTTTATTATCCATAGTTCAATGACTGGATTTGGGGAATTGGAGAACAAGTTGAGGCTCTGCATGCTCATTTCCACATCAGATAAGTTGTGCCTCTTTTCCATTTCAAAAGAGGTTTCTTCTGATCATAAATGGACCCGCTTGGTCATATTTAGTTTGCTTATCAGTTCTTCACCATCCTTTGACTAATAGAAAAATGGTGATCAAATGGTGAAACTTGACATTTGTCTTCCTTTCTTATATATTATATATAATATCAAAGCAGTAAAAGCTACAATGCTAATTCAGAAAGCTTCTAATCTACATTCTCTTACAACCCATGATGTCTGTTAGGATCTTTCCACAAAATCTTTTGTTGACGAAAACGGGTAAAGAAAACAAAAGAACACGAGAATTTTACGAGTTTCGGCAATGTGCTTACGTCCTCGGTGCCTAGGCGGCGCTAGAAGTTTTTATTCAATGATATTTTAGGTCTAGGTTACATCTCTATTTATAATAGAAAACCCTGGTACATAATTACAAAATTAACCCTGTACCTATATCCCAGTCCTCTTTACTGGTATATTTATGAGCCATACCTAACATCTTTTTATTTAAATATTATCTCATTTCTTTTTTGATGAGCAATAGATGACTCATGCAAACACAAAAGCTAGATTCAACCACCATACCTATATCCCTTTAAATACCACTACTCGAATCCAATGATTCATCAATCACCGCAAAATAAAACATCTCTTCCTTGATCTTAGAAGCTGATAGATAACAAGATTTCTATTTCGTTCATCAGAATGAAGAACCAGATACTAAATCAGGTAATCGGAGTTACAATCAAATCGACGATGTGTCAAGTTGAGAGAAGGCCAAGACGATACTTACTGGAGATCATCGGCCAATATCGGATTCCATCATCTGCTAAAGGGTCCAACACGTCTAGAACAAGTAGGTGCTCCCTTTTAATCTGTGATGGGTTAAGAAATTCATGATGAATATGTTTTATAATACCAATTAGAAAGTTCTGAAATTTCAGGCAAAGGGAATTTCATACTTAAAAGGTTGAATAGACTTCGGAAGAAAGCTGATATTTTCGCACATGGAATCCGTGAACATGGTAAGATACACTCTAAAGTCTAAACATATATATATATATATATAAGCATGTATGCATGAATGTATGTATATGAAAACTGAGATCATCATTGAATATGCTGCGAGGCTAGGACCAAAGGTCAGTGAAATAGTGAAGGGAAAGCTGAGTTTGGGGGTAAGAATTCTTCAAGTAGGAGGTGTGAATAAGATATTCAAACAATTGTTTAGTGTTAGAGAAGGAAAGAAGCTGATGAAGGCATGCCATTGCTATTTGTCAACAACAACAAGCCCCATAGCTGGTTTACTTTTCACCTCAACTCAAAAGGTTGCCGTTTGCAATGACAAATCAATCAAAATCCCATCTCCTGATGGTGAATTCCTCAGAATCCATTACAAGGTTTGTATATTTCATCTGTTTTGATTTCCCTCTCAGATTGCATAATTTTGTACCCTTCAATCCTCATGTTTTTGTATGTTAATTTTGATATTCAGGTTATGATTCCACTTGAGAAAATAAAGGGAGTTAATGAGAGTGAAAACATGAAGAAAGCATCACAAAAGTACATGGAAATCATGACGGTAGACGATTTTAATTTCTGGTTTATGGGGTTCTTGAATCATCAGAAAGCTTTCAAATTCCTTCAGCAAGCAATCTTCTAAAGACTACTACATGATGCACTGCTACAAATCACTTTCTAGGTGGCTTACAAATGTCTCATGAAATTGTTCTTGTTCATGAAATTCAAAGAACAGTCGATCTTACAATTGTAAAAAGATTTTTTTTTCCAATTAAACTTTAGATGAAGGAAGATTAATGACTACACTCAATAACTGCATTTAATGAAGAAATCCAATTGTGCAATACATAGTTGCCTATTGTCAATCAACTTTAGCTTATACATACGCGAAAAGAGTATAACAAATATAGCTTAAATAAACTACAATGGCTACCATTCTCAACTTCCATTTAATGACCTGACTTTTTGCCCTTTCAAGACCCTTTATTCCAAACCAATTGTTCTTAAATCTTGAAACTAAAAGAGGACTGATGACCGGTGGTTGGCAACATAATTGTTTGTTGGTTGCCAAATTCTAGGCTGTGACGAAAAGACATGAACAATAATGAAAAAAAGAAATTGCAAACAAATCATAATAGTTAATAACAAATAGGCGGCGATAATTAATATGAGGTTTTATCATAATAGACATTCAGCATTTCAACGACAGAAAATGCTCAAACATTGTGGACATAAGTTATCTTCCCATTTAAAATTTGAGAATTCATTTTTTTATAGGAAATAGGCCTCGTTAACAACCTCCTTCTTAACCGTTAAGCTACAAAGTATCTTAACGGGCATTAGAAGGAGGAAAAGAGTGCCCGAAATTTATTAACATCAACAAAGAGTGCAACCTAAGTAAACACTCCCTAGATTACAACCTTACTCATAAACACACCTATCCCATGACAGGATAATTACATTCCCAACAAAAACCAAAAAACATAATACAAAACACATCAAACATTACCCAATTCTTGCCTTAGCTAAACTATCAGCTTCACAATTATTACTTCTCTTTACAAACCTAAGTAGCACATTGGAAACCAACACAGTCGTAGCTAATTCTTTTACCAGAATACTAAACACAACAGGACAACACTCTGGATTTTTAATCCAATCCACAGTAACTAAAGAATCACTCTCCAAAATGAGATGCCCTTTGTTTTTCCACTTCGAATCCAAAAACATATTCAGTCCAGCTTTAATAGCTTTGAGTTCAGCCAGGACCGGCGGAACACGTCCAGCCGCGACTGAGAAAGACCCTGGTGCTTACCTTCTGAGTCCCTAACCATCCCACCAATCCCACTGCTCCTCCAATCACAACCCACTGCACCATCCACATTAACTTTAAACCATCCCGAAGGGGGAGGACACCAACCTGTCAAAAGAATAAATTCCTTCAATGAACTCTTGTGCAAATCAGCCAACGTAAGGTCACCTACAAGAAGATCAAAAAACAACTGGAAACCTTGAATTTTTTGCCAAGAACCAAGTAGCCACCCTAAATCTAACCAGAAAAATCAAGTAGGTAAGATCCAACCTTCCATTTTCAAAAACCAATTTATTCCTACATAACCAAACATACCACATGACTGCTCCTAGAATAAATTTCCAAATCTCATAATACGAAAAAAATTCAAACCACACAGAAAAGAATTCAACGGGACTATTTGGAAATACAGTACATACATTCCACATCCTCAAGAACCGCACCCACACACCCCAAACTAATCTGCAAGAGAAGAATAAATGACAAACCGACTCCACACCCGACCCACATAACGGGCATAGAGGATCATCAATTCAACTAATACCTCGCCTAATCAAGGCAGACTTAACTGCCAACTTTTGGTGAAAAATCTGCCAAATAAATGTTTCAACTTTAGGAGCTAAACCAGCCTAAACAAACTTTGACCAACTAAAATCCGAAACCAAGGAACTTGAAGCTACTTTTATACCCGATTGAACCAAATAAACTCATTCCCCATTTCCTCTCCAAACACAACAGCCATCATCACCTGCACCCATACTGATAGTGTCTAATAACGAAATCAATTCCATCCAACGATCCACCTCCCAATCAAACAAATTTCTTCTCATCTGAATATCACACACCCATCTTCCATAATTAAATGGCCCAAATTTTGTTATAAACATCTTTGTTAACAGATAGAGCAAAGAGCCTAGGAAATCTCAACCTCAGGGGAAGGATATCAATCCATTCATCCTGCCAAAATCATATCGAATTCCCTTTCCCTACTTGCAGCAACAAATGATTGCGAAGCTCTTTGCTAAAAATGTCATCTGACCAGAAATTATTGTAAACTCCCTTCCAAAGCCAAGAAGACTGGGCGGACAGAGTAGAACTCAACCTTATATCTCTTCTATCAAAATCATACTTGGAACACACCATCCTTTTCTACCAAGATTCTTTTTCGCTCCCAAATTTCCAAACCCATTTACCCAATATAACTTTATTCATAAGCTTTAAATCATTGATCCCCATTCCCCTATATTGTCTTTGTTTGCACACTTGCGACCAATTTACCCAATAAATATTAACTTTAAGATATATACTTATTAAAGAATTAAAATAATATTTTTTAAAGGGGTCTATAGGAATGCCTCTTAACTTATAAGAACTGCATTTTCGAAGATTGTCAGTACAAAATGATATTTTCTTATAAATATATAATAAAATATTTTTAATATATTAAACCTACATAATTTGTAAGAGAAATATATTAAATATATTTTATTTTTTTAAAATCAAGACAATGTTCTTTTTTAAGAGAAATCTATTAAAACACCTCTTAACTAACAAGAATTTGTTTTAGAGGATTGTTCGTTCGAAAGAATGGCTTTTTATTTTTTTAAATGATTTCACTTTGTGATATGAGTGGTAAAAGTATTATATGCATTCATGATGCATTCATAACATTTATTTAATTTGTCATCATTTTTTTTAATTTAGTAAATCTCAAGGCAATGTTGTTACAATTGGAGGAATTGATAAGATAGCGTTTTGAATAACATAATAGCTATCTATGTTAATTATTTAAATTAAAAGAATCATAATTTAAATATATATATTCAAATTTCCAAGTTTCAATATTTAGATGGCGTATGATCGCTTAAGTATTGATTTCGGGCGTTGTGGGGTGTTAATCATTTTCTGCGCTTAATTAACCTTTTTTTCAAAATGAATTTCTTGTTAAACGTAGGTTATTTTGTCTTTTAAAATTATTTTTCCTTAAAATTCGTTTAAAGGACGTCTTTAGGTATTCAATCTATCTCAAAAGTCGATTGCGACTATAAATTTATTTGTTTTTCCAAACTCAAATTTCACTTAGTCTTTTAAAATTAGATTGTGTCACACCCCAATTTAGGGGTCAAATTATAAGTTTTTGAAACTTAAAGATAGATTTAGAAAGTATTGGAAATTCAGGGTCCCAATCCTGAATTTACCCATTTTTGTTAGTTAATGAAAAATAAACCCCCTTCCCCGATGAAATCCCTAAAACCTAAAATTTCCCCATTTGAGAAACCCCTTCACCGACCCGATTCCCCACCGTCTGACCGCCACATCCTGAGCCGCTACCCCCTTTCGACTCCCTATCAGCCAGCGACCAAAGCCCGAACATTATCATGCCGTGAAACGCCTCCATTCGCCGTGAATTGAATCTCAAATCCTCATCGAAAACCCCACCTCGTCGTTCGATTTTTCGTGGGTGAGGTTGTCGTCTCCGTTTTTGATGACCACTGATGTGGGTAGGCATTTCAGTTATTTTATTTTATTTTAGATGGATTGTGGCTAATTTTGAGATTATATTGGCTTGATATGTTGTGTTGATGCTCCAGGAAGAATCGGCAGACCACCCCGAGGTTGTCGCCACCGCCACGCGCCTCCCTGCCTTGGAAATATTCTAGAATCGATCCAACCTGGTCCGAACCGGGTCTGTTTGACCCGACTGAGTCAACCAAACTGTAACACTCCAACCCGTACCCAACCCGAATACGAGTCTGAGGTGTCACATTGACTTTTCAAACCTTGACACTTAAAGAAAAACCTCGGGGAATTTAAAACTTGTTTAAAACAAAATACTTTAATTTACATAAAAGAGACCACAAAATACAAACTTGATCAGAGTACTCATAATTAACGACTTATTACATGCCAACACTCTATACACAACAAAATACATACTTTGTCGATTACTTCTGATCTGATCTTCTAGTAATAATACTGTCATTGCCACTTCTATTCTTGCTCTTCACGTTTCTTGGTACCTACGTGTAAATCACTTACACGCTAAGTCATAGACTTAGTGATGCAATAAATAAACATGTAACAATAGATTCATGAAAATGCATTCTTACCATTTGATCATGATATTTCAATATGCATGGATATATTTCCTATGACCTATATAATCAAGTCATGCACACATGAAACTTACCTTTTTGCATCACTTTCACTTTAATTTATATTTCAATTGTTGTTGTTGTTACCCATGTATATTATTGAGAATAGAGGTATGTGAGTACATTGAGGTTGTGCACCAATGCTGTCACTGCAGCTCGTATAAATTTCCTCATTGGGCACCGAACATTTGTTCAGTATTCGTCCCGAAGGACTGCTATATATGTCCCGTAGGACCACTACATCCCGAAGGACTACAATACCCTCGACTCTTGGCATGCCAACTATACCTATAGCTCTCGTATCATATACTATGGGTATTTATTATGAATATATTTATCATCACTTGTTCTTTCTCTTCTATGACATACCACATGTATGGGTAACCATATATTTCATATCATATCACATATTGCATATTCATATGTCATTTCATATATTCACATAGCTTATTTCATTTCACATTGGTCATATCTCATAACATATATCACATATGTATATAATCATGTATATCATATCATATATCTTATGTTTCATGCTCTTATGTTTATGCATATCATGTATTCATGTACATATAAGAATCACATATCAAATAACATTTTAGGAGTCACTTCTTACCATAGTAACTCCATCATTGGCTCATCGCAAGCCAATGTTCTTTCAATAATATAAGTACA